TGACTGTGATGCTCAGCTCTGGGGCGGTCACCGGCTCTGGGGGACAAAGGTGCACGTGAGAGGGAGATGTGAAGGCTCCCACCCTGCCCAAGCTCGAGCAGGCCTGCCCTGCAGCAGGCTGGGGACCCAGAAGGGCCCTCAGGAGGCGTGGAGTTTGCGGTGAGGCAGGGGATAGGGTGCCTCAATAGACAGGAAGCCATGGAACAGGAAAGAAGCAGAAACAGAAACGGTAATCCATCTCCCGGGGCAGAACATACACAGCCTCCCTTCCTGAAACAAGATTTGAAAAGCCCCAAACAACCCACAAAGGAGAAACCCCAGGGCAGGCACCTGTGCACAAGGGACCTCCTTGAGCTCCCCATAACCTATTTATGCAAAATAACTAGTTAAGTCTAACGCATATGGACTGCATCTCATGCGTACAATTAGAATTAGGAGATGGCAGGCAGAAACACGCACAGCAACCTAACTGTGACCCTATCCCCAGGAAGTCCCTTTAGCCCCAGAAACAATTATCCCAATGTTTTCTTTCTGCAAGCCTTGCAGAATCAGAGACCACTTTCCCACCAAAAAAGAATCTGAGAGGCCCCGGCTTTGTTTGTCTCGAGGCTCTTAAGTTACTATCCAGTGCCATCTGCTCCATTCTTTTCCTTGGCGTAGACTATCCCCGCAGCGTTTACTGAATCCACTACTCTTTGTCTTTTGCTCTCTCTGTTTGTCCCATCCAACTCTTCGTTTGAGGGACCAAGAACCTGGTCACCACCAACGGGTCTGTAGCCAAAACCCTACAACAGCAGCCAGAGAGCAGGGCCCAGTCTGCAGCCAACCCCAACCAGGGCAGCCGGAACGGCAGAGGCTGCAGTGAGCTATGATTGCACCTCTGCCCTCCAGTCTGGCTGGCAGAGCCAGATCTGAGCTCTAAAACAAGGGAGAAGCCGGGCTCGGTGGCTCAGCCTGTAATCCCATGCCTTTGGGAGGCTGAGGTGAGTGGATTGCCTGAGCCCGCGGGTTCGAGACCCGCCTGGGCAGCGAGACCTCATCTCTACAATAAATCAAAAAAAATCAGCTGGGCGTGGTAGTGCGTGCCTGCAGTTCCAGCTACTGGAAGGCTGAGGCGGAAGGATCGCCGAAACCCAGCAGGTCGAGGCTGCGGTGGCCGGAAGCAGCCACTGCGCTCCAGTCTGGGCGACAGAGTGAGACTCCAACTCAAAAAAAAAAAGGGAGAAAATGAAATTGAAAGCCACACGCAGCTAGCCACATGCACTGCACAGGAGAGCACCAAGAGTCACTCCGAGTGAATCAGGAAGTCAGGGTCTCCAGGTCTCCCCTCCCAGGAGTCCACTATCAAGGTCACCGTCACAGTGGGGGGTTTTAACCCTAGGCTGTAAGAGGCGTGGGGTGGCAGGATGGGAGGAAAACTAGAAGTGATGACACCGGCTGCAGGTAGCACGTTGGCTGGGCCCTGGTGTGAGGGGAAGCCCTGGGGAAGACTTGGAGACTCTCCACGGGATCTTCGCCCATCCCAAGGCTTCCTCTCCAAGTCTAGACCAAAACGGGTTTTGTCCACATGATGGGAATCAGGGCTGAAAGCCGCCAGAAAAGACCTCCACGATCATGCTGCTGAGTTACGGGACTCTTGCCTAAAGACGTGGCTGTTAGCTGAAATACTCAAAGCTCTTTGGAGGAGGAAGGGAAATGGAATTATCAAGAATACAGATCAGCCAAGCACAGTGGTTCACACCTATAATGCCTGCTCTTTGGGAGGCCGAGGTGGGAGGATCGCTTGAACCCAGGAGTTCAAGGCCAGCTTGGATAGCATAGCGAGGCCTCATTTCCATAAAAAATAAAAATATAAGCCAGGCTCGGTGGCTCAGCCTGTAATCCCGTCCTTGAGAGGCTGAGGTGAGTGGATTGCCTGAGCCCACGGGTTCGAGACCCACCTGGGCAACTTGGCAAGACCTCATCTCTACAATGAATCAAAAAAATTAGCCGGGTGTGGTAGCGCGTGCCTATAGTTCCAGCTACTTGGAAGGCTGAGGCAGAAGTATCGCCAGAGCCCAGCAGGTCAAGGCTGTGGTGGCCGGGAGCGTGCCACTGCACTCCAGTCTGGCTGACAGAGTGAGACTCCAACTCAAAAAATAAAATAAAATAAAAATAAAAACATTAGCCAACTGTGGTGGTGCACACCTGTAATCCTAGCTATTCAGGAGGCTGAGGCAGGAGGATCGCCTGAGCCCAGAGGGTAGAGGCTGCAGTGAGCTGTGATCGCACCACTGCACTCCAGCCTGGGCAACAGAGTGAGACCCCAATTGAAAAAACTAAAGATGGCGGTCACACGCTTTCCAGCCCTCGAGCGCGTGCTCACCAGGGCGTGGCAAGACCCCGCCAGCGCAGGGTCCCCCGGGAACACGTGCTGCACTCACCCACAACACTGAAGTTGAAGTCGCGGCTGTACTTCGCGCAGCGGAAGGCTTCGGCCTTGCACTTGTAGGGGCCAGCGTCGCCGGCTCCCGAGATGCTGAGGTCGAACGCCACGGGCTCGCCTTTTCGGTCCTGCTTTCCCAGGTGTGCCTGGCCCCTGAACAGTGAGTAGGTGACCCGCAGGGACGAGTTCTCGTGGGAGCACAACAGAGATACATTTTGACCCACCGTGACCACAGGAGTTTCCGAGTACAAACTTGGAGAAGGAAACTCTGGAAAACAAAATGCCACAAGAGCAAGTCCTCGTTAAAATCCTCTGATAGCTGGGCACGGAGGCTCTCACCTGATATCCCGGCACTTTGGGAGGCCGAGGTGAGAGGATCACTTGAGGTCAGGAGTTAGAGACCAGCTGGGCAACATAAGGACACTTCGTCTCTATGGGAAAAACAAAAAGTTGGGTGTGGTTGTGTCTGTAGTTTCAGCCACTTGGGAGGCCGAAGCAGGAGGACTGCTTGAGCCAGGAGTTTCAGACCAGCCTGGACAACATAGCGAAAAAATTAAAGGCACGGTGGCGTGCGCCTTTGGTTCCAGCAATTTGAACGGTTGAGGCGGAAGGATCGCCTGAGCCCAGCAGGTCGAGGCTGCAGTGGCCATGAGCGTGCCCCTGCCCTCCAGCCGGCGACAGAGGGAGACCCCGACTCCAACACAGAAACAGTAGAAGCTGGACAGCCTTTGCTCCGGCTGTGTGGGGCGACCATCAAGGCCACCACCGCCTGGGGGAGGAGGAAGTGGCACTCACCGTCCGCCGTCGCCATCCCGCCGTCCGGCGCCAGCCTGGACCCTGTAGGAGGGGCGAGGGATGCTGGGGGCCCACCTCCCCCGGGGCGCGGAGGCCTGGAGGCTCTGGCCTCCGCGCAGCAAGGGGGCTGAGCTGCAGCGGCGGAAAGGGCGCCCGCGAGCAGCAGGGTCCAGCGGCCCCACATCCTCGTGCAGCAGGGAGGGCAGGGCAGGCAGCCGGAGCTTCTTCCTTTCCGTGAGTAGTTGGGGAAGTCAGAGTGTGGGGCATGTGCCACGACATGACCAGCTGGGCCACCTGACCGCCTCCCCTGAGAGCTCCCGGGAGAGGAGAGCCTGGGCATGCGGTCCCGAGCTGGGCGGCCGGCAGTGTGGATGGTGGGCGGAAGAAAAGAGACTCCCCTGACGGCGGAGACCTGCTGGTCATGTCTTCTGGGCTCGGTCTACGTCAAGGGGAGCTCGGTAGCGGTTGGCTCCGTCTTGGGAGGCAAACACTGACCGTCTTGCGCAGACACGGATAAACGTGGTGTCAAAAATGTCTGCATTAGTCTGGGCACGGCGGCTCACGCCTGTCATCCCTGCACTTTGGGATGATCCTCCAGCCCAGGAGTTTGAGGCCACCATGGGCAACATAGCATTTCCTTGTTTCTCCAGGAAATTAAAAAAAAAATTATCCAGGCATGGTGGCACACACCTGTAGCTCCAGCTACTTGGGGAGGTTGAGGCAGGAGGATCACCTGAGCTCTGGAAGTCGAGGCTGCGGTAAGCTGTAATCGCCCCACGGTGCCCCTGAGCAATGGAGTGAGACCCTGTCTAAAAAAAAGAGTCTGATTTATTATTGTTTTTTAAGAGACAGTGTCTTGCTCTGTGGCCCTGGTTTCAAGCAATCTCCTGCCTCAGCCTCACCGAGTAGCTGGGGCAACAGGTGCTGCTGCCACGCCTGGCTACTTTTTAAAAAATTATTTTCATAGAGATAGGGTCTCACTATGTTGGCCAGGCTGGTCTCAAACTCCCAGCCTTCAGCGATCCTCCTGCCTCAGCCTCCAAGTAGCTGGAGCTACAGGCACCACCACCGCACCTGGCCTAAAATGTCTGCTTTGTTAAATGTTGATTCTAGGCCCCACTCGGACGTCCTGGGGTTGGAGCCTGGGACTCTGGTTTTTCCACAAGGGCCCCAGGCAGTTCCTGCGCACACTCGAGTCTGAGCAAGACCTCCGAGAGCTGCTGCCTTCAAGCTGTCTCCCTCAGGGGGCCCCGGGGCCACCGTCCCGCTGAGCCCGTGAGGGCCAGGGACCCTGTGCTGGACGGGTGTGTGGGCGACGGGGTAGGGGACTACGGTGTGGTGAGCCTAGCCCAGCCGCTGAGAGGGAGGTGAGTGGAGACCGCTAGGGCCAGGAGGGGTCAGACCCCGTTGGTGGCAGCACAGTGGGTCTCCAGAGGAGGTGGTGGGAGCCCCACGGAGCTGGGGCCTTGCCCTCTGGGGCGGCACCCAGGGCGTCACCACGTCGCCCTTGTTCACTCTCGGGCACTGCGCTCACACCTCATTCCCTCGGAGCATGTGCAGACCTGCACGGCTCTGTCCTCCGTGAGACCCACGGACCCAGCACCGCCCTCAGCATTCTGGACACAGTAGGTGCGGTGGCTCGTGCCTGTAGCCCCAGTGCTTTGGGAGGCTGAGGAGGAAGGATCGCTTGAGGCCAGGAGTTCAAGACCAGCCTGGGCAACATAGCGAAACCCACTCTCAACAACAACAACAAAAAATCTAGCTGGGTATGGTGGCACACACCTGTAGTCCCTGCTACGCAGGAGGCTTAGGTGGAAGGTTGAGGCTGCGGTGAGCTGTGATCCTACCACCTCATTCCAGGATGGGCCACAGATCAAGACCCTGTCTCTTAAAAAAAATAATTACCGGGCTCGGTGGCTCAGCCTGTCATCCCGCGCCTTTGGGAGGCTGAGGTGAGTGGATTGCCTGAGCCTGCGGGCTCGAGACCCACCTGGGCAGTGAAACCGCATCTCCACAATAAATCAAAAAATGAGCCTGGCGTGGTAGCGCGTGCCTGTAGTTCCGGCTGCTCGGAAGGCTGAGGCGGAAGGATTGCCGGAGCCCAGCAGGTCGAGGCTGCGGTGGCCGGGAGCGGCCGCTGCACTCCAGTCTGGGCAACCGAGTGAGACTCCAACTCAAAAAATAAATAAATAAATAAATAATAATTGTAGGGCAACCCTTTCGGGTCCCCTCCCACTGTGGAAACTTTTCTGTCCTCTCAATAAATCCTGCCTTCTAAAATAATAATAGTAATAATAATAATAAAGTCAGCTCTTTTTTTTTTTAAGACCGAGTCTCTATTGCTCAGATGTGCAGTGGGACGATCACGGCTCACTGCAGCCTTGACCTCCAGAGCGCAGGTGATCCTCCTGTCTCCACCTCCTGAGTAGCTGGGGCTACAGGTGTGTGCCACCATGCCCAGCTAATATACATTTTTTTAATTTCTGGAGAAACAAGGTCTTGCTGTGTTGCCCAGGGTGGCCTCGCACTCCTGGGCTCAAGGATCTTCCCACCTTGGCCTCCCAAAGTGCTGAAAGACAGGTATGTCAGGCCAACGCAAACATTTTTGACACCACGTGTCCGTGTCTGCGCAAGGCAGTCGGTGTTTGCTTCCAAGGACTGAGCCGACCTCCACCGAGCTCCCCTGGACACAGAACGAGCCCAGAAGACACGACTGGCAGGTCTCCACCATGTCTCCACCGTCAGAGAAGTCTCTTTTCTTCAGCCCACCGTCCACACGGCGGGCTGCTCAGCTCGGGACAGCATGCCCAGGCCCTCCTCTCCTGGGAGCTCGCGGGGAAGACATCTGGGTGGCCCAGCTGGTCACGTCATGCAGCGCGTGCCCGACACTCTGACTTCCTCAACTGCTCACGGAAAGGAGGAAGCCCCGGGCCGCCCGCCCTGCCCTCCCTGCCGCACGGAGAATGTGGGGCCGCTGGAAGCTGCTGCCCGTGGCCATCCTCTCCTCCATCACAGCTCAGTCCCCTCATCATGCTGAGGCCAGAGCCTCCAGGCCTCTGCACCCTGGGGGAGGCAGGCCCCCGGCGTCCCTCACCCCTCCTGCAGGTCCCAGGGCGGCGCTGGACTGTGGGATGGCGACGGCAGACGGTGAGTGCCACTTCCTCCTCCCTGACAGGTGGCGGTGGCCTGGATGGCTGCCCTGAACCCGCAGGGGGCAGACTCATCCCTGGATGGACCCCGGGCGCAAAGGCTGTTCGGCTACCACTGTCTCTGTGTTGGAGTCGGGGTCTCCCTCTGTTGCCCAGGCTGGAGTGCAGTGGCACGTTCACTGGCCACTGCAGCCTCCACCTGCTGGGCTCAAGTGATCCTCCCTCCTCCTCCCAAGTAGCCGGGACTACACGCGGCCCAGCCACCCTGCCCCGCTAATGTTTTTATTTTTATTTTTTGTGGAGGTGCTGTGGCTCAGGCTGGTCTTGAGCTCCTGGGCTCAAGCGACCCTCCTACTTCAGCTTCCCGAAGTTCTGGGACGACAGGCATGAGCCACCACACCCGGCCCTACCTGCTGTTTCAAATAAAAGGGTCCCAGGCAGGGAACTTGAGTGCTTTTCCAAGTCTCAGTGACAGAGGTCAAGGCTGTTTTGACAATGAGATTTGAAAGGGTCAACTGAGGCAAGGTGGGCCAAGCCACAGGAATAACGCAAGAGAGCACAGACGGGAAAGTAGAAGGAGGTAAAGTTCATGATGCACCTTTCACAGATGGGAAAGGGGGCGGTCCTCAGGCGAGGGTGACATGGAGGGCTGGAAGCCAGGTGTGCTTAAGGGCCTTCAAAGCCGGGGGCTTAGACCTGGAGGAGGGCGGAGCCAAAAGGAACGTCCAGGGTTGTATTCCTGGGCTTCCACGGTAGTCACATGAATCTAGTATCTGGACGCGACCAGGCATCAACGTCTCATGACCTCAGGTTGTCACGGCAACCAGTAAGAATGTATCAACAAGAATGCCTAAAAGAAGCCGGGCTCAGAGGCTCAGCCTATAATCCCGCGCCTTTGGGAGGCCGAGGTGAGTGGATTGCCTGAGCCCACGGGTTCGAGAC